TATACTCGACTTCAACCCTTTCTGGTCTCTCCTCCGAGTCATCATCTTCATCGATTAGCTCGCATATATCCATTTCCTTGATCTCTCTGGCGAAATCAATGTTTATAGGCTCGCCGTATTCATGTAGAAACTGTGGGTCTGAACTCAACACTGTAAACAAATATTCGTCCAGATCCTGTCCGCCTAACGATAAAGTCTGAATTGCATGGTATTGGACGGCGCTATCGATTATTGGCGTGATATCTATAACGTCATGACGACAATAGTACGTAAACGACAGTTTTAATCGTGGGTAGAAAGCCAGGTCATGAAATACTAACACTCATACTGCTCATATACGTACCTGTTGTGCCGTGTCCAATGTCAATTACAAGGCCATTCATTGAGTTACACCCATACAAAGACATCAAAGCCTGATCAGCGATATATAATCCGGGAATATTAAAGTTCTCGAAGAAAATCTGTGCAATTCGTTCATGTTGTTCTTTCGTCCAATAGCTCGGTACCAAAGTAATCACTGGGCATTCATTTCTAACTCTCTTTACGCTAAATTCTTTCAGCAATATGTGCCTCCTACAAAAATCGTACATATGTCGATATGCTCATCCCATTTTAACATAACAAATGATCATTCTGACACCTTACCAAAGCGCTTCCAATTCCTCCCAATTCTTTACAGATCCCCTTTCGATAGGACGAGAAATCACCAGATAGTCTTTCAATTCTTTCAACTGACTACCACAATAGTATTTCTGTTCTTTTGCAGATTTCTTCTCAGATACTTGTTCCGGAGTAGTACGCGTAGTATCTTCACGAGGCGATGCTTGTTCAAGCTGTTGCATGTCAACAGCACCTTCTACTATTTCCTTTTTCTCGTCGTTCTGCGTTACTTTCTGACCGACTTCACACGGAAGATACTATACATGATTCGTTTTATGACCAGGCCGTTTCATTTGAACTTGCCTTATTACAAGATAAGAAAACGCGTGGACTAACGAGCAATAAACAGCAGGGCAGTATTGAAGCCGCGTCTTCCCGAAAATGCGAGGGTTCGGGAAGGGAAACGCACAGGGGAAATATAAGAGGAGACTACGGCTAAAATGGTACTTACTACTGTGGGGGCCTCGGGGGTATTAGTATCGCGTTCTCTAACACCAATTCGAGCTTTCAGCCGCCAAGATCCGTTTTCGATAATTATATAATTTTCTTCGCGAAATGTAAAGTGCATAGACATGTCTATCGTATTATTCGATTCAGTAAGTTTTAGAAGATGCGGAAAAGAGGGAGAAACTTTCTTCAAATTTCAACCTGTGTAACCACGAATTTCAATATAATATCAACCACCCCTCACAACACTAAACACGTCTTTGATTTAGAAATCATGGCAGAATACAAAGGTGCTTCTTCCGAAGGTCAACGTCAAGCGATGCTGGAGAAACAGCGCGCCAAGATGTTGAGCGAATTCGAAAAGCAAAGAGAAAAGATTACAAAGGTAGGTTGTTTGTCCGTTGGTGGATCAGTTCTCATAGTTATATTAAACGTTTTATAATTTCTAATAGGACAATCAAGTCAATGTCACTTCAAGCAAGTTTGTCACGCAGAATGCAGATGTAGAGGGTTTTTTAAAGAAAGAAACGGTTGGGCTGTACAGATTGGAAGACTTTCAAAAGATCAGGATGGAAATTGAAGTGCAGAAAGAGAGGGAAGCGGCAAGGACTTCCGAACTAAATAGGTATATTTTCAGCTATGTGAGGTTTCTAAATACTTAAAGTAATTGTATTCGAATGATTTACAACTTTGATAACTCTACAACATAGGACTGACAAGCTCAAAAAGTCTAAAAAGAAGAAGAAGCCTGAAGTCAAACTATCATTCGATATAGATGGTGAAGAAGAAATTAGTGCGGGTAGTAAAAATGGCCAAACTGGTGAAAAGCGAAGTGGTGGTATGTTGAAGAACGTTTGTTGATTATGTGACGTGAAAACTTGCTATTTTATAATTCACTTTTTTTAACACATCCCAGCTCTATAGATTCGATGGAATCTGTGCCCAAGAAGTCTAAAATAGGTAAGAATCCTAGTGTGGATACTTCTTTCCTGCCAGACAGAGAACGAGAAGAACAAGAACGAAGGGAAAGAGAGCAGCTGAGGCTGGAGTGGTT